CCCCAAAACCCCAAAACCCCAAAACCCCTATTTTATTAATATAAAATATGAGAACTGGAAATAAATCAGTTGTGATCCAGAGATCTCCCTTTCCAAAGTATAAGCTTCAAGTTAATGAATTTGAAGAGTCTAATAAGGAGGTGTATCTTCTTCATGAAAAGAACCTCAAAGAGCATCGCGAAAGGCTCAAGTAATCAATCAGCTAATTTCTTAGAAGAATAATGCAGAAAACGATCAAAGGGAATCCTCACCAGAAGAGTCAGGTCACTAGAGAATGGTTTCTGGCTAATAAGAGCAAGGACCACAGTATCATTCAGAGCAGGAAGAAGTCAAATATTTCTAGAGAGAACACTATTTTGTTTAACAAGCTTCTTGATATTTCCTTAGGGAAAATGTCTGACTTGCCGTTTGTGAAGACCCACAAAAACAACTTGTTTCAGAAAAATGACAAGAAATAGCAGATATAAGCGTACTGGTAGTGTGAACCCTTCTCCTTCCAAGATTGGGATCAAGGATCTTCGTTTCAGTTCTGTTGACAGTCCTAAGTATGAGGATTCTACTAGCCTAAATTACTCCATAAGGAAGTTGGAGAAGAGAAGAATTGAGAGAGAAAACCTTAAATTAGCTGCTAAATTGATAACTGCTGAATCTGGACTGAAATAGAACCAAACTTTTGGGTGATTATAAGCTGAGCCAGAAATATAAGAAGCTCCGAAGCAGGAAGCACTTTAATCCAGAGACTCCTGAGAAGTCTAAATTCCCACCAGTCACGAGGAAGTTGATAATTAAAGAAGAGAGTATCGATTTTGAGAATATTAAAGGTAAGCTGGGAAACCTTATTTTCATAATTTTGCCTCAGAAAATATCATAATTATAGTAAATCCAGAGCATTTCTTTGAGAAAAGGTCTGATAAGGCTGAAGAAGTTAAGCAAATTTCAGCCTCCATGAACAACCCTCAACTAGATAGCGCATCTATCCAGGAGGTAGGCAGCCCAATGAATTTTGGAGATGACCTTATGCTTCAAAGAAAAGTAAAAAGGGTCAAGCCAAGGAAAAGGTATAAAAATGAGATCAAGAGTGGTCCTAGTTCACCAAGGCATATAAATTACGATCATAACATGCACAGAACTAACAAGGATAAGCTCAATGTGTATAAACCGGTTGACACTAGTAATAAAAAGAAGAAGCTTAAAATAAAAGAGACTAAAGATTAATTACTTAACGGTTCACAAATATCAGAGTTATAGTACTGAAATATAGGAAATTCATAGCTTATTAGACATGCATATCTCTTAATTCTCCCAAGCCTGGAGGTCATAGTCATTGGAAGGTGCTAACTCTAGTTAAGCCTTTGGCCTCTGGTGAAATGTGTATTCCCCCTACATCTATATGATTACCTAGAACGGGGTTTTGGGGTTTTGGGGTTTTGGGG